GGGGCGGGGTCGGGGGTGGGCGGGGCTTTGGTGGCGCTCGGCCCCGCTCGGCTCCTTTCGGAACCGCTCGGCTCCTTTCGGCCCCGCTCGGAACCGCTCGGAACCGCTCGGCCCCGCTCAGCTCCTTTCGGAACCGCTCGGCCCCGCTCGGCCCCGCTCGGCTCCTTTCGGAACCGCTCGGTCCGGCAGCCTCGGCTCGGCTCCGCCCGGATTTCTTCGGCTCCTTTCGGCTCCTTTCGGCTCCTTTCGGCTCCTTTCGGATCCGTTCGGCCCCGCTCAGCCTCATTCGGCTCCTTTCGGCTCCTTTCGGCTCCTTTCGGCTCCTTTCGGCCCCGCTCGGCCCCGCGCCCCCCCCTCCCCTCCCCCCACGCTTTGGGGGCATCCCGTGGGGACATTGGGGGAGGGGAGGGGGGCAATGGGGGGGGCTCCGCGTCCTCGCCCACCTCAGCGACCACCCTGGGGTCCCCATGTCCTTGAGGGATCCCCACACCCACCCTGGGGGTCCTTGAGGGACCTCCAACCCCACCCTGGGGGTCCCCATGTCCTTGAGGGGACCCCCAACCCCACCCTGGGGTCCCCATGTCCTTTAGGGATCCCCAACCCCACCCTGGGGGTCCTTGAGGGATCCCCAACCCCACCCTGGGGGTCCTTGAGGGATCCCCACACCCACCCTGGGGTCCCCATGTCCTTGAGGGGACCCCAACCCCACCCTGGGGTCCCCATGTCCTTGGGGGGGTGACACTGACCCCTTCCTGCCCTCCCCCCCTGCAGGAATTGGGGTCAGGGTGCTGTGCCCATCCCGATTTCACCCCAAATTCCTCGGGGGACCCCTTTAAACTACCCCTCCCGCCAGGCCCCAAGCCCAGGGACACCCCAAAAATCCAGAGACACCCCAAAAATCCAGAGACACCCCAAAACCGCCACCACCACCCTAACGGGGGAGATTTATTGAACACGGTCACCCAGATTCTGGCGGCATCACCCCGACTTGGGGCTGGCCAAGGTCCCGTTGGTCTCCTGAGAGATTTTTTGGGTCCCCCCTCGTCCCCACAAACCCAGGGGCACCCCAAAAGCCCAGGGACGCCCCAAAAGCCCAGGGACACCCCAAACCCACCCCCACCATCCTAACGGGGTTGGATTTTCAGTATTTACACCCAGATTTTGGTGACATCACCACAACTTAGCACGGGCCAAGGTCCCATTGCTCTCATGGGGGATTTTGGGGTTCCCTTTGTCCCCACAAACCCAGGGACACCCCAAAAGGCCAGGAACACCCCAAAAGCCCAGGGATATCCCAAAACCACCACCACCATCCTAACGGGGTTGGATTTTTGCTATTTACACCCAGATTTTGGTGACATCACCACGACTTGGAGCTGGGCAAGGTCCCGTTGGTCTCCTGAGAGATTTTTTGGGTCCCCCCTTGTCCCCACAAACCCAGGGACGCCCCAAAAGCCCAGGGACACCCCAAAACCACCACCACCATCCTAATGGGGTTGGATTTTTGCTATTTACACCCAGATTTTGGTGACATCACCGCGACTCGGGGCTGGCCAAGGTCCCGTTGCTCTCACGGGAGATTTTGGGGTTCCCTTTGTCCCCACAAACCCAGGGACACCCCAAAAGCCCAGGGACACCCCAAAACCACCACCACCATCCTAACGGGGTTGGATTTTTGCTATTTACACCCAGATTTTGGCAGCATCACCGCGACTCGGGGCTGGCTAAGGTCCCGTTGCTTTCACGGGAGATTTTGGGTTCCTCCCTCGTCCCCACAAACCCAGGGACACCCCAAAAGGCCAGAGACACCCAAAAAGGCCAGGAACACCCCGAAAGGCCAGGGACACCCCAAACCCACCACCAGTATCCTAGCGGGGCTGGATTTTTGCTATTTACAGGTTTTGGCGGCATCACCGCGACTCGGGGCTGGCCAAGGTCCCGTTGCTCTCGCGGGGGGACATTTCGGGGTCCCCCTCGCCCCCCGCCGCCGCCGCCTCGTCCAGGCGGCTGGGGATGGACCAGTAGAGGTGGGCATCGCGGCGGGCGGCGGCGGCGGCCAGCTGGCGGGCGCTGCAGGCCGGCGTGGGCACAGGCACGGTGTGGTGGAAGCCGCCGTAGTCCACCTCGTAGAAGCCTTCCTCCAGGCTGAGCAGCGGCGTGAAGCGGTGACCCCAGAGCACCTCGTCCGCCAGGTAGGAGCTGCGCGCCTGGCACGTCATCCCTGGGGGCACCCCGAAATCTGAGTGACCCAGGGCATGGGCACCCCGATATCTGAGTGACCCAGGGCATGGGGACCCCGATATCTGAGTGACCCAGGGCATGGGCACCCCGATATCTGAGTGACCCAGGGCATGGGCACCCCGAAATCTGAGTGACCCAGGGCATGGGCACCCCAAAACCTGAAGGTTCCTGACCCCAGAGCACCTCGTCCGCCAGGTAGGAGCTGCGCGCCTGGCACGTCATCCCTGGGGGCACCACAAAATCTGAGTGACCCAGGGCATGGGGACCCCGATATCTGAGTGACCCAGGGCATGGGCACCCCAAAACCTGAAACCCCCAGGACATGGGCACCCCAATACCTGAATCACTCAGGGCATGGGCACCCCGATATCTGAGTGACCCAGGGCATGGGGACCCCAAAACCTGAAGAACCCAGGGCATGAGAAACGCCAAATCTGGTAAGAGGGGTTTGTGAAACCCCCAGGGTTTGGGGCACCCCAATATCTGAATCACTCAGGTCAGGGGGACCCCAATATCTGAGTGACCCAGGGCATGGGGACCCCGATATCTGAGTGACCCAGGGCACAGGGACCCCAATACCTGAAACCCCCAGGGTATGGGGACCCCAATATCTGAGTGACCCAGGGCATGGGGACCCCAAAACCTGAAGAACCCAGGGCATGGGAAACCCCAAATCTGGTGTGAGGGGTCTGTGAAACCCCCAGGGTTTGGGGCACCCCAATACCTGAGTGACCCAGGGCATGGGGACCCCGGTATCTGAGTGACCCAGGGCATGGGCACCCCAAAACCTGAATCACTCAGGGCATGGGCACCCCGATATCTGAATGACCCAGGGCATAGGGACCCCAATACCTGAAACCCCCAGGCTATGGGCACCCTGATACCTGAGTGACCCAGGGCATGGGCACCCCAATATCTGAATCACTCAGGGCATGGGCACCCCAGTATCTGAGTGACCCAGGGCATGGGGACCCCAATACCTGAATCACTCAGGGCATGGGCATCCCAGTATCTGAGTCACTGTGGGCATTGGAAACCCCAGATCTGGTGTGAGGGGTCTGTGAAACCCCCAGGGTTTGGGGCACCCCGATACCTGAGTGGAGGTGTCCCCATGGAGATGAGGGTTTCCCATGGAGATGAGGGTTCCCCATGGAGGTGTCCCCATGGAGATGAGGGTTCCCCATGGAGGTGATGGGTCCCCATGGATGTGATGTGTCCCCTTGGATGTTGTTTGTCCCCATGGAGGTGATGAGTCCCAAGAAGATGATGTCCCCACAGAGATGAGATGTCCCCATGGAGGTGTCCCCACGGATCTGTCCCACACTGAAGATGTGTCCTCATGGAGGTGTCGCCATGGAGATGAGATGTTCACATGGAGGTGAAATGTCTCCATGGAGGTCATGGATCCCCATGGGGGTGTTGTCCCCACAGAGATGATGTGTCCTCATGGAGATGTCCCCATGGATCTGTCCCACACTAATGATGTGTCCTGATGGAGAAGTCCCCATGGAGATGCTGTGTCCTCATGGAGGTGCCCCCACCGAGATGGGATGTCCCCATGGAGGTGTTGTGTCCCCATGGAGGTGTCCCCACCGAGATGGGATGTCCCCATGGAGATGCTGTGTCCCCATGGAGGTGTCCCCACGGATCTGTCCCACAGAGATGATGCATCCCACAAAGACGATACATGCCCACAAAGACGATGTGTCCAACGGAGATGACATCTCCACAAACGTATCCACACAAAGACGCCGCGTCCCCATGCCACCGAAGTGTCCCCATGCCACCGAGGTGTCCCAGTGCCACCAAGGCGTCCCAGCGCCACCGAGGTGTCCCCACGCCACCGGGACATCCCCATGCCACCGAGGTGTCCCCATGCCACCGAGGTGTCCCCATGCCACCGAGGTGTCCCATTGCCACCGAGGTGTCCCAGTGCCACCGAGGCGTCCCATTGCCACCGAGGTGTCCCATTGCCACCGAGGTGTCCCATTGCCACCGAGGTGTCCCAGTGCCACCAAGGCGTCCCATTGCCACCGAGGTGCCACCGAGGTGTCCCAGCACCACCGCGGCGTCCCCGCCCCGTTTACCTGTGGCCTCCACCATGCCCTCGAGGATGACGACGATCTCGAAGTCGTCCCTCTCCAGCTGCCCCCGCGACACGTCCCAGAAGGGGCTGCGCTCGTCGATCTCGTGGCTGATGATGAGCGGCGACACCAGGAAGAGCCGGTCGTCGCCCGTCTCGAAGCCCACGCTCAGGTCGGTCTGGTCCAGCGGGATGAACTCGCCCTCCTGCGTCTGCTTGGACTGGATGAGCTTGGCGCGGATGGAGGCCTCCACGATGTGCGAGTCGCGCAGGTCGCCCACGCGGAACATCAGGCACAGGCGGTCGTCGCGCAGCGACACCACGGCGTGCGAGGAGAACACCAGGGTCTCGGCGCGCTTGTTGGGCTGCGAGATCTTGACGAACATGCAGCCCACCATGAAGGCGTTGACCATGGAGCCCAGGATGGCCTGCAGCAGCAGCAGCACGATGCCCTCGGGGCACGTGTCCGTGATGACGCGGTGGCCGTAGCCGATGGTGGTCTCGGTCTCGATGGAGAAGAGGAAGGCGGAGACGAAGCCGTTGAGGTTGTTGACGCACGGCGTCCAGCTGTGGTCGCCCAGGTGCTCCAGGTCGCCGCGGCTGTAGGCGATGACCCACCAGATGAGGCCGAAGAAGAGCCAGGTGAGGGCGTAGGCCAGGATGAAGATGAGGAGGCTGAAGCGCCACTTGAGGTCCACCAGGGTGGTGAAGATGTCGGTCAGGTAGCGGTAGGTCTCGCGCACGTTGCCGTGCTGCACGTTGCACTTGCCGTCCTTCTCCACGTAGCGCTGGCGCTTCCGGGCCGCCGCGCCGCCCCCGGCCCCCCACGGGCGGCGTTGGGGGGCCTGGGGGGGCTGGGGAGGGGGCTTGGCCTCGGCGGGGACCCCCGCGGGGACCCCCTCGGGGACCCCGCAGAAGGCGGCGTTGTCCTGAGCCATCGGCGGCGGCTGCGGGGGGACAGCGGGG